GAAGCGTGGTGGGGGTCTTCAGTGACATAAAGGACTTGTCCGCCGATTCTGCCTTCCATTCCTGTGTTGTTACTAGAGACGGCTCAGTTGAGAAAGAGTAGGCAAAGCCAGAGTAAGTGGTTCCAAAGTCTATAGCTACCACCACATCTTTCTCCTCTACAAAATGGATGTAAGATATAGGTCAATGTGGGATTAAAAACATGTAATACAATTATTAAAATACTGTACATTTAGAAACTATTGTTTACTTGGCTTTGATTCATTTGGATCCACCAGGAATGACTTGGACACAAATTTCTTTTCAGACAATGCTTTGTCTCCCTTGGGTAAAAATGGCAGGTGCTTTCTATCCGTTTTTGATGGCTGTGGCTCTTCTTCTTTGGATCTGATTATTTTTTCTAAGGAACTCGATTCCTTGCTTTGTACATCTGTCACTAAGTGAAAATGAAATGTACTTTTATTCTTTTTGTCCCATAACTGATCTTATATCTTGTTTCATATTATCATTATCACACTGTATACCAGGTACATGTATTTTTAGTGAGGTGCTAACTTTGGCACCTCAGAGATGAAAAAACAGGTATACTAATATCACAAATATTATTTTAATATCACTGTACATATTAATAATAACTGCCTGCAAATTCATTTACTGTCTCAAAGAAAATGTGGACAAAGTAAGACAGGATCTGTATATAAAGTAAATGTTTAACAGCATTTATTTTCTTTTTATCAGTTTTAACAAATCTGTGAGCCAATGCTCACTAGTAATACCCCCTGCTCTGATGTAAATAAACAACTATCATGTTAATTTACACAAGTTCAATTACAGGCAGATGCACAGAAAAGTTTGAAGTTGACATCAGATTCGTTTCAAAATTAATCCAACCATATGGCTTGCCTCAACAAAGAGTGTACTAAAATTAAGCATCTGCTATGAATAGTTAATGAGAAAAATGCAACGAAAATTTGTTATGTATCAAACGGACAGACACAAAGACAAACAGGAAGTTGACATCGGGTTTGAACAAAAATGAATCCCAACGTATGGCATGCCTCAGATAAGATTGTGTTAAAATTTCAAGCATCTGCGATTAGTTGCTGAGAAAACAAGCATCTACATTAAGTAGTTGCTGAGAAAACTGCGACGAAAATTTGTTATGTATGAAACGGACAGACACACAGACAAACAGGATGTTGACATCAGATATGAATAAAAATGAATCCCACCATATGGCATGCCTCAGAAAAGATTGTGTTAAAATTTCAAGCATCTACGATGAGTGGTTGCTGAGAAAACTGCGACGAAAATTTGTTATGTATGAAACAGAAGGACGTACAGACAAAGAGGAAGCTGACATCGGATTTTAACAAAAATTTATCCCAACATATGGCATGCTTCAGAGAAGATTGTTTTTAAAATTTCAAGCATCTTTGATGAGTAATTGCTGAGAAAACTGCGACAAAAATTTGTTATGTATGAAACGGACAGATGTACAAACAAACAGGAAGTTGACATCGGATTTAAACAAAAATGTATCCCACCATATAGCATGCCTCAGAGAAGATTGTGTTAAAATTTCAAGCATCTGTGATGAGTAGTTGCTGAGAAAACTGCAACGAAAATTTGTTACGGACGGACACACGGACAGACAGACACACAAGGGTAAAACAGTATTCCCCCCTCTCCTTCGGAGCGGGGGTATAAAAATACTCAATGTTGAGGTCATTGTATAAACAAAATATTGGGTTTTAATGTCAATTTAATAATTCAAACTTAACTGGTATTTCAAACTTACCCTTATTGGTATGAATAATGTATCTACTTTTAAAAAGCTGATCTCCTTTAAGTGGTTCAGATGGAGTTTTGTAACTGGTAACTAAAAAGAGAGATTGGATTTCTTAATAAATACCATTAGGTGACATTCTGTGTAGAGCTGGTCCATGTCTGATAACATTAAAATCAACAAGAAGTTGCTTATGCTAATACAGTGATGATTATTGGACAAACAATCAGAAAAGTAACCTTTACTATTGTGTCACCAGCTTTTGAAAACAAAAAACATCGTAAATACCTGGAGCATCTAATTTAGGTCTTCTCCTCTTCTCCATTTGAGAGGGCTTTAAAAATTGTTCCATAGAACTTCGCTTCAAAACCTCTTTAAATTCTATGACAAAATCATCATTTTCCAAGACAAACATGAGAAAATCATAAACTCTTTGTTTTCTTGATTTTCCTGAACTGGCCAGAAAACCACTCAATATTTCCTTCTGTATATGTGGAAACTTCTCAAATGTCTCATGGATAATACTGGACTCAATCTCATCTTGTATTTCATTAAAATGATCTAAAACCACTCTTCTGATATTTTCTGAAAGAAAATAAAATGCTTCAAGACAAAATGAAACAAATTCAGAATATAAGGATCATCCACTTTTGGGGACATTTTGGCTGGGGTGCAATGATTTATGACATATTGTCTGTTCATCAACCTAATATTTCAGTTTATTTTTGAAGTACCAGGTATTATGTGCACAGTTATAGCCAAAATAAAAGACATTGATATCTGTTATTGATCTATCAATGGAGACCTATGAAAGGTGTCTTACTTATATGGTCCCAAGACTGGTAAAAATTAACTATAAATTAATTAAGGTAGGATTCTTCTCATATTTCTAATATTTAAAAATTAATGAAATTTTCACAGAATCAAGAAGACAACATCAGTAAGTGATAGTATCAGTGAAATTAAATTTGACCGTTTTATATTAGAAGCAACGTCAGGTCAAGTATATTATCTATATCCTTGACATTAAGAATAAAAAATAACTGTTGCTAATCATGCGATACCAACTTCTATTTCAAAAGTTTAATGATTGTTCTTTTTGCATAAAAACATATTACTATATCAGGTCTACAGCATGATATTACCAAATTTACATAAATAATCTAACTTAACTGGATATTGGCTAATCCGAATTTTCTCTGTTTTTCTTATTTTTAGGATATATTAGTTATTTTCATATGCTTCCTATATTTAACTTTTTCTTATTTTCACACATAATAAAGTAGTCTTATAAATGTACAAAATGATACCAAAACAAAAAGTTTTGATAATTTACCAAGAGAGAAAAAATACTTTTTATGGATTTTTGGCTCAAATCTGCAATTTGATAGGAAGCGTTTAAACGCTAACAAAGTTCTAGTTTGTTTGAAAAATCATATTTATTTGATATATTTTGAAAGTTTAGTCCCTCATTATTAATTTAATTTACATTTGGAAATGTCTCAAAGTCTTTGATTGTGTAAAAATTACACCAAAATTCATTGTTCTATTATAATTTTGAGAGGCAGAAAAAAAGATATTTTCATACGCCACCATTCCACCAAAAATATAGTCCCTGCTAGTTTTCAAACACAGTTTACCATTTCTATTTAAAGCTGTACAATTGTGATGAGGAAAGAAAAATATGGTATTTTAAATTCCTTACACCGCAATATATAAGACATATAAGCAAATATACTTTAAATGTTTCATCCAGTCAGAAACCAGAGAAGAATCCTACCTTTTAAAATATCTAGTAATGAAATTTGTAATGTTTATATATAACATCTGGATAGACATTAAAAGAAGTACCGGGTATCAAAGTTCACACAAATCTATCCCCATGTTATAATACAAACCTGCTTCTTTGTGAATATCCTCTACCTTGCTAACATCAACAAGACTAGCAAGATCCTTTCTATCCATAAACAGCAGAAACTCCGAAAAAGATTTCATCTTGTCATCGGGAAAACCAATAATGATATGTAGGGCTTCCTCTATCTTTCTCTTCCTGCCTTTAGCTTCATCGATCTTTTTTCTATCAGATTCGTTGAAAAGTTCTCTTTTCATGAAATAGGTGACCATCTGAGAGGGTTCCAATTCATCAGTAAAAATATGCCATTGTTCCCTTATTTTTCTGCACATCACATCTTCAGGTTTTCTTGATCGAATTTCTAAATTTAAAAGAAGCAAAGAAATTTATATTAATGTAAGTTATTTGCTCAAATGATAGAATAGCTCTTTTTAATATCATGAACCTCAGGATGTCACAATCCTACTTTTTCAGTTGATGGGCTCTTGGGACACAGGATACATTGACCCAGTTTATCTCTGCAATGCTAAGCCCTTGAGTCTATTGTTTTGGATAACTGTCATAGCTAATTAGCTATAACTCTAAAATAAACATAAAAAAGTTTGGGGAAAAATTATCATAAGATTTAAATCATTACCCTTTTCTTCCTGATTTAAATCTTTTCTTGAGACTTCCACATTCAGGGTTTGACCATCGAGTTTTTCTGTTCCTATCCGCATTAACAAGGACTCCACCACGGATTGTATCCGAGCTCCACCCTCAGCCACAAAGTCATCTATGGCAGCATCGGTCAAAGGTCGTAGGTGAATGATAATTGATCCTGAGGTAGCATTTTTCACTGCCATGTGTGTTTCATTCGTAAGTTGGATTCTCACATTGGGATTATCATTGATGACTGTAACAACTTTAATGAGTTCCTGGGAGTTGGGGTCCCGCTCCTCTTGTACCTTGACATAAATATGTAAGGGTCCACCTGGAAAATCTATAAATAAAAATATTATTTCAAATCTTTGTCTCAAATGTCAAATGAATTTAAAATTTTAATTTAGTAACTTACAGTGACAGTAAAATAATATGCATTCTAAAATTCTGTGCCAGCTTTACCTGCAATTTGAGGATTTCCTACTGCCTCAAGTCTGATTGCTGGATTTTCTACAATACAATTTATACATAAAATAATTTTCTAAGTTCTAATTCTTTGAACTTTTTTTTCTACTTGTTAAATATTTTATTGTAAAATGCTAAAAATGTAGTTGAATTAGAGGTACTGTATAGGGGGAAAATAACTCGCGGTGTTAATATTCGCTTTATTCACGGTGTAAATAAATCTGTGAATTCAAGAAACAGTGAATAAATTTTCAATAATCTCCAGGAAATTTGAGAAAAGACAACGATAGGGCTATAAACATGTATGCGCAGTACATGGTCATTCCGGCCGGTAATTACGAGTAGTACTTGTCATTCAGTTAATTTAATTATCACTCTTTACTTAAATTCAAATCGGCAGATAATAACATGTATTTGTTAAACAAGCTGTTTTAATAGCCAACGCTACGTTTCATCAATCAAAACACGTGGGTTTTGATTATCCGTGCGTAACTAATGTTAGGTATACCACGTGTATTTGTTACAGTAACTGCTTTATCATGCATGCAAATGAGTTTTCATCGAAATTTTGCTTTTTAAAAATCAATCCAATAACTATAGAACTTACTGAAGATGTGGAAGGATATTTCGTCGACCTTTCCAACATTAACACATTCATTACCATCCAGTGCTTATTCGTTGCGTTGTATCGAAGATCTGAGGGTGTACACGCACTCGTTGTAATAGCATACAGGAAAGACATTTGATGTTTAGTGTCAAGGACTTTTGATAACTGTACTTGTTTTAATTAATCGTCAATTTTTTTATATCAAATCTAAATCATTTTATTTAAGCCTACCCCGTTGTTCGTGAAATAAAGTCATAACGCTGATCAATATCGTTTACATGTAGCTATGATATGGATAAACGGATATAGACAAGGGAGGTAACTTTTATTATGTACCAATTCCGCGAATTCAAGAAACCGCGATTGTGTCAGATGAGAGAAAAACGTGAAAATCACAACCAGTGAAATTAATCCCCTATACAGTAATCATATTTAATAGAATCTAAGATGATCTAATGTGCTGATTCTTCATGGCACCTTAATTATGTACACTCTATTAGATAACAAAAAAAAATACATGCAGAAGATAATTTCCAATAACATCAATGTATGATTACAGCTAAATCAATGGCTCATGACGTTTTTGTGTTAAATTTTGAGTGTTCTAATATATGCCAACTGTAAATTAAAAGATATTCATAATTACGTGAAGTTATGTCTTCTTCCTCATCACTTGTTTTAATGAGTTCCTCGAAGTCCACACCGGTAACTTGAAGCGCGTAAGCGAAACTGTCCAGTACCTCTTGCGACACTTTTTGAATGATGCGAGACAGTAAATTTTCTGCTTTCATTCTGCGACTTGAAGTTTCTTCCAATGCATCATGTTCATATGGAGACAGAGCTCCTTCCTCTAAGAGTACGTCACTTAAATCACTGGGCTGGAGTTCAGATTTTAGCTGATTCTTGTAACGTTTTATCTCTGATTCAAGGATTCGTCTCTTGATTGGGTTTCGTCCTACCCAATGAAAATAAAAATTGGATAAAATAACGAGTGAAGGATTAATTTGCATCAAAAAATTTTTGAAAAAGTTAAAGATCTCAAAAGGAAAACTGTATAAGCCCTTTTTGATATACATGTAGTACAAATTACTTGTAGTGCTCCAATTCCTTAAGTACTGTGACGTTTTTTGTTTTTTTTTTAAATCTAAGGATGCAACTAAGTTCAGTGTAATCTGTACCTAGAAACATGAACAAACACTTTTGCAGTCGAGTGGGAATTGTAAATGTTCATTGCTCATACCTTTTCGTTTTCTCTCCTTCCATTTATTGAGTGCTGTATGAAACGTATGTTCCTCTGTATCTTCCAAATATTTCAGAAGGCTGTAACATCCCCTCTCTTTGGATTTCATTGCACTTTTTACCAGCATGCCCCGCTCTTTTGTACTTTCTTGGGTAGGCTTGGATTGAATGATTCCTGCTGCATAAAGATGTGCAGATGTCATCTCAAAATGGAGATCTCGTCTAATTCCTCGGAAATTTAAGGTTACACACTCCAAACATGTCCCTAGAAAATGATGTTAAATCTTATACATGTTGTCTTAAAAATTTTCGAAGAAGTCCATGAACCTTAACTGTTGCCTTGCTATCATACAGTAACTTTATTTGGAGACATACTGTACGTTGCTTTCATAACTTTTACAACACATTATTTTCCCCATTTACAGTTAATAGTACAGTGTATTCTTATTACCTCTTACAGTATATACAAACTTATAAAATTTTCATAATGCCTCTGATGGTCTCAAGAATTGTGGTATGAACAAACTTGCATAGGGGTGTTCAAATACAAGTGTATTATTTTTTTATTCATTATCTTGCTGTTTTAACAAAAGAAATGTTTCACTCAGAAAAGCCCACTTTACGCTTTAAAACCATAAAACCAAACCCATGGCACACCAAATTCACAAAAATGAGATAATCATAGTTTCACAATCGATAAACTAGGTTTATCGGTTGTAAACTATAGTTTACGGACTGTAAACTATAGTTTACGGACTGTAAGCTATAGTTAACAACGTTTATCTATATTTTACATCTGTAAACCATAGTTAACGTGATAATCTATGTTTCACAACCGTAAACTATACTAAACACTGAAAACAATCATTTGCGATTGCAAAACATAGATTATCTGATAAATACAGTTTCACGATTTGTAAACTATAGTTTACAAACCGTTAACTATAGTTAACGATCTGATAAATATAGTTTGACGATTTGTGAAACTATGATTAACAACTCTTAACTATAGTTTACGATTGTAAACTATAGTTTACAAACGTGAATTTATGTTTATCAATAAAATCTATTGTTAACGCATATTACAGACAGATAAACTTAGATTATCATTCGTAAACTATAGTTAACAACTGTTAAATATAGTTTTACAGATGAAAACTATACTTAACGAATCGTTAACTATAGTTTACGGTTTGTAAGCTATAGTTTACAGTCGAAAAACCTAGTTTATCAAATGTGAAACTAGGTTTATCTCATTTTTGTGAATTTGGCGTGCCATACAAACCTTTTTCTGTTTCTCGTGCTTGGTTCTGAAGGACCTCCAATATACGCTGTTGTTTTGTGATCTCTAATCCATGGACAAAAACTTTCAAGCACTCTTCAGACTTGTTCTCTAAATTTTTCAGTATTTTCTTCACTTTTTCGATCCTTTTACATTCATAATCTATTTCATCATGGGTGTCTATGTCAAAAACTTTTTCTTGAAACAGGAAATCAGAAATGCTGGATGGCTCCAGTTCCACCAAAAGAGTTTCATGTTTACTCTTTAGCTGGTTTTTGTTTAAGGTTACTGTACTTTCAACTGTCACTGTAAATAACCATAAATAATGATAAACAAGAGGCCCAGGGGCCACATCGCTCACCTGAGCAAATCAGCTAGGAAAAAGCACAAATGAGATCAGAACTGAAAAGTTTACTGAAGGGGGGGGGGGCTTGAATTTAAAACTACTTGAGAATGCCTTCATATTAATACAGCATATTACTTTGCTGCTCTTGATAAAAAGATTTTTTTTAAACATTTCCTTCCTATAGATATAACTTCATAAGAATTTGAATTTAATTCCCCATTGTTTCCATCCCTACCCCAAAGGGCCATGATTTGAATGAATTTAAATCAGGATTTGAACAAACTTAATTCTACACTACCCGAAGATGCTTCTATATAAATACTAGTATCACTAATCATGGCTTTGCTATTCTTGAGAAAAAGAGTTTTTTAAATATTATGTATTTTAGTGTAAAACTTGGATCTCCCATTGTGACCCCACTCTATCCCTGGGGGTTATAATTTGAACAAACTATAATCTAAACTACCTGAGAATGATTCCATATAAATATCACTAATGATGGCTTTGAAGCACTTGAGAAGACAAATTTTAAAGATTTCCCTATCTAGTCCTATGTAAAACTTTGATCTGCAATTTTGGCTCCATCCTACCCCTGGGGGTCATGACTTGAACAAGCCTGAGCCTACACTACCTTGAGGATGATTTCACATGAGTTTCATTTTTCCTGGCCCAGTGGTTCTTGAGACGAAGATTTTTAAGATTTTTCCTATATATTCCTATGTAAAAATTTGATTGGCCATTGTGGCCCCACCCTACCCCCGGGGGTCATGATTTGAACAAACTTGAATCTACACTACCTGAGGATGATTCCACATGAGTTTCATCTTTCCTGGCCCAGTGGTTCTTGAGATGAAGATTTTTAAAGATTTTTCCTATATATTCCTATGTAAAACTTTGATCGGCCATTGTGGCCCCACCCTACCCCCGGGGGTCATGATTTGAACAAACTTGAATCTACACTACCTGAGGATGCTTCCATATGAGTTTCATCTTTCCTGGCCCAGTGGTTCTTGAGAAGAAGATTTTTAAAAGATGCCATTAATTTTTCATTAATTCATAATTACATGTATCTCCCCTTGGAAGAGGGCATGGCCCTTCATTTGTACAAACTTGAATGCCCTTCACCTAAGGATAGTTTGTGGCAGGTTTGGTTGAAATTGGCCCAGTAGTTCTTGAGGAGAAGGTGAAAATGTGAAAAGTTTATGACGACAACGACGACGACAACAACGACTACAACGACGACAGACAACGGACAAATTTTGATCAGAAAAGCTCACTTGAGCCTTCCGCTCAGGTGAGCTAAAAAGAAAGAAAACAGAAATTCATTTTATTTAACCAAGACTCAAATCAGTCAAAGATTACTTCATTATTCTTGTCCACCACTTGTCTCTACAGATCTTTACAATCTGAATAGCCCATTGCTGGGTCAATTTAACAACACTCAGACTCAGTATAAGACTCACTATAATCTCTTCTTCGAACTTCTTCCAACTTTTGAAAGATTCCATAGTCCGGATTTTTTAAGACTTCCAGAAAATTTCTACATGCTTCTTCTCCTTTAGTAATGACATGTTTAAGTAGTTTGCCGATCTTCCTTTCGTTAAAATCTTTAAAATCTACTTTTTCCTCATCACTAAGTACAGAACACTGAAGTAGTTCATCCAACAGCAGTCCATGAGTGATAAGGTTTTCTTTGATGGACAAGAATGACCTCCTAATTACATCCTTTGGGTCATCTGTAATTAAAATCAACCCACTGAAAAAATCAACACAAGATTCAAACCTGTATAAATTGATTTCTTTTAAACATTTGCAGATAATTCCAATAACCATTAAAAAGAAATTAGATACAGTTTTATTTCAAATGACAGAAATATCATTAATTTATCACAAATAAAAAAAAAAACATCCTCAGCATTTTTTTCTAATTCTTGATGTAGGCTACAAAACAGTTACAGTTTCTGTATTTTTTGGCAAATCAAGACTTTAAATTATATTGATTCTGATCATTATATGTCATGGGCACAGTTTTGTTGGGAAATATATTTTTTCCTTATATACATGTAGTATCATTAGAAAAACTGAAAAATAAAATTTTTAGCACAAAGAAATAAACTGGATTAAAAAAAAATTTACATGACAACTACCTGTGTTAGCTGAAAGTCAGATCTCAGCAATATAGAATGAAAAAAGATTTAATGTTACCTCCCACATCACCTCCTCCCTCAGCCATGACTTTTGATTATCCCATCTACGACAGTTTGCAAACCCTAAAAAATTATTATTTAATTTGACAAATAAACTTAAACATAGTCAATCGGAAATAAATCTGGTACAAAAATATTTACTTGTTGACTTATCCAAATAAAAAGGTAGGTCACAAAAAATTAGCACATAGTATAAAAATATTTGCTAATACCTTTGTTTAAAAATGATTTGCTGACCAGCTAAATACGCAAAAAGTCTAACATTTCTATGTTTTACCGAGCTGTCAGCGGTCATAAAAATATATATGTTTGACCACTGAGTGAGTTGTTGGACCTGTCAATAACATCTTGAATCACTTAAAAGTAGGGATGTCAAATCAGTCAATTTTAAATACTCGGTTACTCGGACGTTTTTCCGATCGAGTACCCGGGTACTCGGTAAAAGTGTAAATAAATATGAAAATTGAAGACTGTCATTGTAAACTCTTGTAGAAATAAAACCAGATGCACTGATAGGAATGTATTTCTGTTGTAATAATGATGAGCACTTCGTGCCCGACGAAATTTTATATAACATTTTTTAAAGTTCAATTTATTTATCAGATAAACACAAGATATAAAATCATAAATGGTTCACAGTGTTTTTGTTTAAAAACATAATCTGCTCTGTAATTGTAATGTAACTCTTTGTCGCGTTTGACGACCAGGTATCATACGTCAGAACTACGTACAGTATCAACTTGAATTTGATAAGTTCTCCTAACAGAGCGGATTTACGATTTTCGTACACTTTTTCAATCCTAGATTACATAATATTACGGGACGGTATTTTTTAGTTTGGTGCAACGATGGACATCAGTTTTTTTAAAATCCTTTGCCTTCAACCAGTTGTATTGGCATCTAATCAAACACAACCATATCAACAATCGCATGTGCAATGTCATCCGCTCTTTTCCCGAGAATTTTCAGCTTCTTGGAGAATTGACAATATTATCTGAATTTATTTAAACATAATAGACCTTAAACGATGTTCAGTGAAAACAAATAATTAATTTAATTCGAAGGTGAGAAAAGCCAGGTACCCTAGGTGCTTGGCCACGATAATTACTGTATAAACACTGCCACAGGCGATAACGGTCATTTAGAGTCATAGTAAACCCTAATTACTGTACGTACAAGTGCATGCAATGAGGATTTTACGTTTTAAAAAAGATTGTTTGATGCATTAATAAATAAGCTTAGAAATATGTAAAATATACATCCGAGTAACCGAGTACCGATTTTAGTATTCGATACTCGGACGTTCGATCGAGTACCCGGTTAACCGGGTACTCGTTGACATCCCTACTTTAAGTAATATACTTCTTCATTCTGTTTGTCGATGATGAAGGAATGTCAGAGGCACTTGTTTCATACAGTATTCTAATTCACTACTACACAGTAACATGCGTGATATGAGATACTCATTGACATTAAACACTGCATTAAACTGTTAAACTTTCAAAACTTCAAAAGTGTAGTCATTATGAACAGATATAAATATAGTTTTTTAAAAAGTCAAACATGTAAAAAGTGTGCATAAATAAATCATTTTCTTATAATAACATTTTTTAAATTATGATAATTTGTAACATTTCACAACACATAACGTTTAAAACATAATATATCAAAACAATTTCATACTCCTACTTTCGTTTTCAAGTTGCAATCATGGCGATAACTTTGCGCAGAGTTATCGTTCTTCCTTAGTAAAAGTACGGAAAGCCATCCGAGCAAAGTCCCTTTTAGAGTTAATTCTGAAAGGTCCTATTACAGATTGGAATAACTTAATTTGAGAAATAATAATTGAAAGCCAGTAAGTCTGTTCAACTGTCTATTTGTCTTTTTTTTTATCAAAGACTTCAAGATGATCATGATGATTGAAACCTAAAAAAAATTTATTTGATATGATTATTAGAAAGCAATACATTCTAATAGCAGTTTCAAGATGAAAACTTAAGGTTCCTTTGAGTTTCTTTAAATAGAATTTCAAACATATTCATGACCCCAAAAGCCTTTTACTGAAGTCAAAATGTCAAAGGTCAAGGACAGAAATCGACACAATGCAAATGAGTTATCAATTGATTTCTAATAATATTTTCTTCTATTTTTTTAGATGAAATTTTGTATCACAGATTGATTTGGCATTAAAAATTTGAAGTCAAAATGTCAACCCCCCCCAACCACCACCAGAAAATTTAATTTAATTTTTTTTTCTTGCATGGTTATGAGGTCAAAGATCAGGGTCAGTGTACTGCACCCATTTAATTTTGATTAGAAATTTAGAATAGGAGTTTATTCCAATGAAATGCTACCCTTCTCTGAAATTTTTCTGTTAAGTTGAGAGAGGATGTCCAAAAATCATTGAAAACCCTCTATATTTCAATGCTTTACTTTAACTTTTCAACTTATTACGACTACATCATTTCACAAGGACAAAAAGCCCGTTCTTTGCCAATCTGTCAGATTATGTTTATCATTTAAAAAACCAGTCCTTAAAGTGTTTCATTATTTATTGAGATATATATATCACAAAGACATTAAGTAATACATCAAAGTTTCAAAGCAATGTAATATTTTTGCAAAGTGCCATACATACATATTTACATATACATCAAGTAATCATTTACAGTAGAAGTCGTCTAATAAATCAGAAATCATTATACGACACTTACACCTTATAAAAAGGCCATTATTTGGCACGTCACTATTGACTAATCAAAATCAGCTTTGTCTTCAAATTGTACATATTGAAGATGCACTATATAAATACAAGAAGAAAGATCAATCTGTTAAAATAAAAGTATTCAAATGTCAACCTATAAATGTAAAAATTAAAATCATATTAGATATGATTTCAAATTTAAAAATCTGAACAAAGATATAATAAAATATTTTTTAACTAAAGGCACATGGGCCACACCACTCACCTGAGTCAATATGCAGCAGCAGAATTTTTCTCATATATTCACATGTAAATCTTTGTTCACCTGATCTAGCCCAAACCTACCCCAAGGAGTTTAAAATTGAGGATCTCTCATATTCAAATGACGAAAAATCAGAGCTTTTCTTTTAAAGACGAGAGCCACCCTACTCCATAGGGACATGATATGAACAAACCAGAACTTCACACCATCTGAAGATGCTTCCATATAACAAGACATGGCTTTGTTAGATAATTCTTGACAAGACTTTTTTGTAAATATTCCTCTATACATGTATTTACTTTTCAACCCCCATGTAAACTCCACCCTACCCTAGATTGTCATCTTTTAAACAAACAAATGTACACTTTCTGAGCTTGCTTCTAATCAGAATTTTGTTTTCAGAAGATTTTTCCTGTACATTTCTATGTAAACATTTAATCCCATATAATGACCCCATCCTACCACTTGGGGTCATGAATTGAACAAACTTAATACCAAATACCAAATTTTAACTAATTCTTAATCATCTCCCCTGGACAGAAGGCATTACCCTTTATTTGAACATTTTTTGTATAGCCTTCATTGGCATCAGAAGCAAATGAAATTGGGGGGAGGGGGGTGGGGCTAGGTGTAAGAAAAAAAATTTATACCTTCAAATAAACCTGACAAGCCAAAAACAAAAAACAAAAAAGGAAAGAGTCCATTTCCCAAACACGAAAAATCCTATTTCGGGGTGGGGGTGGGGGGGAGAGAGAGGTTTGAACTTTTTTTTTTCCAAACACCACCACTTTTCCCATTTTTAACCTATACTGCGACGTGTCTGTGGAAAGTGGGAGGCTAAACCTACGAAGCGATGTTCAATGTCTATAGTAAGTATATATTTGGAAAAAAAGCCCCCCCAGTTCCGACGCCTATGTCCTTCAAGTAGGAATGCTTTCAGTTGAAATTGGCCAAACG